CTGTGGAACCACAAATTTTCTTTAGGAAGTATATTTAAGGTACATACGTGTATACAATACAACTTTTATATGTTTTGCTTACCACAGATGACATCATGTGTCTAGAGCCCACTATGAATGTAACCATTTTCTGGCTCTAAAATAATTTTTTTCTCATTTTGTCTCAGAAAAAAAAGTCCTAATTTCTATCCAGCATGTCAGTTACCAAGGTAGATTGCAGCTCAAAACACTCTCAGCTCTCTGCCTGAAGAATTTCAATTTCTTATTCTAATTTGTTGCTACCATTGTCTTTACAGCAGTCAAAACCTAAACAACACCTTTGCTGAGCACCGGAAATTTTCATATAGGGGTGTATATGGAAGATTTGTTCTGTTTCTATAGTAAAAGAAGATTGAAAGGGTCCTGGGAGGGAAATATTTGTTTTGGACTCTCACTTAGGTGTAGGGTGATATCTAGAAAGTATGAACAGATTCTTTGTATTCCCTCTAAATACTTGTTTTGTTTTTCTGTATTAATTTCATTTTGGGGAAAGCTAGAGCAAGCCTTGTCCTCCAGCCCATGTATCATCCTTGGAGCACACAGCATCTACCCAGCAAGGACCAAGCCCAGCTAGAGCCAGGACAGCTCATTGGACTCAGAAATAACCAAATAAGAGTCACCAGTAAGGTGTGGCCGGTGCAGAGACAAAGCATACCCACTGAAGTGCGTTGAAGCCTTTCAGCGCACCACAGTTACTTTAATCATGTAATCTTTGGTGTTAAAGCACCCTGAGCTGGGAAGCAAAGGCAGGAGGATTGGTAGCCAGACAAACCCAGTGGCTCTGCGACCTCTGCCCAGCTGTTGGCAGGTGTTGTTTGCCAGGACACAGGCTGAACAGATACCCTCCAAACTGTGCTGTGAGCACACAGCTTCTTGTGGCTGTAAGCATTACAGCAGAATTAGGTTTGCATGTCTGATTGATGAACTGCCTGGTAGATAGCTGCTGTCAAATTGTAGTTGTCACAGCTTTGAACTGCTTCGTGAACAGTCCCCGCTACAGTAGTTTTAAGTACACCAGTGCTGTGGCTGTAATTTAGTAGAATGTATAACGTGGAAAAAAAGAATAAACATGAAAATTAACCTTTATCTTTCTTTTTCCAACAGACAGATTGTGCCAATTTTATCTGTGTTCTTCAGCCTTACAACTGGACCCATGTTTATGTCTGTGGCACAGGAGCATTTCACCCTCTGTGTGGATACATTGAACTTGGAACTCACTAAGAAGTAATTTAACTTTCTCACTAGTGTGACATGTCAAGGAATAGCCCTCATCTTGTTTAGCATTCATCATAGATTGGAAAATTGTCGGAATCTGTGGGTATTGGTGATTCCGAGATTGTAGAAAGTCTCTGTCTTTCTGCCCCGTTGCCAAAGAAGAAGCCATAATTCGTCTGCGCTGTTTTCAAGGTTGTTTATTCTGTTTATCTCTAACATGTTCTGCTGCCCTGCCGCAGCTCTGTCCTGCAGGGCAGCGTGGGGGGCTCTGCCCCCAGTGGGATGTTACAAACATTAAATACCACAAACTACCTGTGCTGGATTTACAATAACGTGCCAATATCTGTCACCTACGTTGAACAGCGTGTCCCCAGCCTAAACCAACAGAAAAATGCCAACACCACAGTGAAACATGGAGGGCATGAAGAAGGAGAAAAAGGACAAGGCACACCCAATTTCCTCCATCTTGTCCCCTTTGAACCCCTAATCTAGAAACCTAAAATTTTACTTTTGCACTCGTGCCACACTTAATTACTACTCGTATCAAACACTCAGAGCTTGTAATTCATCCTGTAGGATTGAAAACTCTTTTCCATGGACAGAGATCAGAGACAATGTCTCTGGGGGCTCTGTACAGGGGGTTCCTGACCCCTGCCAGGGTCCCAGACCATCCAGGGCAGCCAGAGGGAAGCCCTGGATTCCCACACTGTGGAGCTTCTGTCTTCCTCTGTCTCTCCTTCCTCTCCTTCTAATGCTCTTTATATGGAACATTTTTGGGTACCTGAACAACTTAAGCCTTTAAACCTTTCCAGACTAAATGGGCTGAGTGAATGAAGTTACTCCTATGACAAGTGATTTAAACTGGATTGGTTTTGTATTAAATGCTTTTCCAAAGTTTCTTGTTCTTTTGTACTTTGCCAGTGAAATTTTGGGGGTCCTGAATGGGCACTGAGGGGCACTTGGGGATCCCGGAGGGTCTGGGGGACACTTGTGGGACAGATGGGGGCGGATACCGAGGGTCTGTGGTGCGCGGGGCATGATGGGTGTTGTAGTCCCGGCTTTAATGGGGCTCTATGGGGCCGCAGAGCATGACGGGAGTTGTAGGCAAAAGAAAAGATGGCGCAGGCTCCAGGCACCGCCCCCAAAGCCATGATCCCTGGCGCTGATTGGTTGACGGCCGTGATGGGCGGGAGCCTCGGCAAATGGGAGGCAGCAGAGACGGGAACAGCCCATTCAACCTCTCCAGTCTCTCCCATTACAGCCCAGTACATCCCCCGTGCCCCTCCAATCCTTCCCAGCACAGCCCAGTTTATCCCCAGTACAGCCCAGTACATCCCCTGTGCCCCTCCAATCCTTCCCAGCACAGCCCAGTTCATCCCCAGTACAGCCCAGTACAGCCCCAGTGCCCTTAAAATCCCTCCCAGTACAGCCCAGTTCATCCCCAGTACAGCCCAGGACAACCCCTGTGCCACTCCAGTCCTTCCCAGCACAGCCCAGTTCATCCCCAGTACAGCCCAGTACAGCCCCAGTGCCCCTCCAATACATCCCAGTACAGCCCAGTCCCTCCAAATACACCTGAGGTAATTCCCAGGCCCTCCCAATTCCCCCCAGTGCCATCCATATTCCGCTCCAGTGCCCCCCAGTTATCCCCACAGCGTTCCCACCCATTGTGGGGCAGCGGCACAGACGGAATGTCCTGCGGCCCAAATCCCTGCTCCTGCCACACAGTGCCCAGCCTTCTCCCCCTCCTCCTCCTCTCCCAGCATGGCACAAATTCCAGCTCGGAGGAGGCTTCCCCAGAGAGGGCTCCTGCTCCAGCCTGAGTGTCCCTGCAGAGGAACAGGGCATCTTTCAGGCACTTCCACAAGCTCAGGGTTCTTACTTCATGGGGAATCTGGGATGAAAATGGCCTTGTTAGGAAGGACAAAAGCGGAGGGAATGGGTTGGAAATTATTAGTAAAAATGTTCCATTGTACAGGGAAAGTTCACAAAATCATTCCCTGCTTTTTTCCTTTTCAGATTCTTTCAGCCATCCACTGAGAGGACCAGCTTGTTCTGGTGCTTTCCATGCACTGATTGTACTCTTGATTTATATCAGTGCTCGAGAGGTGGAAGCTTCTAAACTGAACACAGAAACAAGCTCCCTCTGTCAGCCCATTTTCATCTTCTACATCACTTTCAAGATGTCCATGGGGATGTTGGAACGATTATCACACTGCTCTCCAGTTCTGGCTGCAGGCTCGGGAGATTCTTTCTCTGCATTCCCTGACAATTCCTGGGAGCCCGTCATGGTTTCTTAGGCTAGAGCAATAACAGTGAAAATCTCACCAATGGCACAACTGCCCAGCCCACAAGGAAAAGAAAGAACAAGCTATAAAGTTCTTCAAATATTTGTCCCACTTTTCTGCAAGAGTCGAGCTGCACACACGGTGTGGGAAGCCAAGAGAAGCTGCAGCTGGTGGCACATCTTGTGACAGAAACTGCTCAAAGCTTCCTCATTCTCCAGCAAAGGTTCTTGGAAAGAGCAAACAGGATTGTGGAGAAGATTCTGGGAAAACTGAAAGAGTTTTTAAGAAATGAAATGAAAATGGAAAGAAATAATCCAAGATGTTTTTCTCTGTTAATTTTTATGCTCCCCTTTTCCATCTTACACTACTTCCCCATCCCATTAATTGCAAATGGATCTCACTTCTAAGATCCACAATTTGGCAAGTTTTAGACACTCTAAAATAGCATGAGCTACACACATTTTACCTTCCCCTGTTTTTTTTGGTTTTTTGTTTGTTTGTTTCTTTGTTTGGTTTTTTTTTGTTTTTGTTTTTTTTGGGTTTTTTTTGGAAATCAATGATGGATAGGTACGTGCAGTTCTTGGGTCAGGTAAAAATTCAGCATTCAGGGAATGCGCTCCGATAGTGTTTGACCCTCAGCAGGGACAATGCACAGCAGTGACCGAGGGGATTCCTGTGCCCCTGGGCAGGAGTCCAGACTCTGGGTTTGGGCTGAACAGGGCAAAGTTCCCGTGTTTGGACAGAGGAAGGGGCTGTCCCCGGGGCGCGCGGGGCTCGGCCGTGGGGCGAGCGGGGAACGGACACGCGGACAAACGGCCTCGGTGCTTCAGTTGCAGAGGCAGCAGCGGCGGCGGCGGCAGCAGTGGCGGCAGCAGCGGCAGCAAAAGCAGTTTTTCTCTTCTTTCTCTTTCTCTTCTTTCTCTCCGGCTGTGGGACACCTTCCTCTCGGTGTCCCTCACCCGCTGTCCCTCCCCTTTCCCCGCCTCCTTCTCCCCCATGCTGGGCCGGGCCATGCCCCCGGCCCGCCCCCGGCCCGGGGCGGGGCTGCCCCGTCCCCACCCCGCCCGTCCCGCTGCGGTCTCGCCTCCGCCCGGCTCTGGCCGTGCTGGCGGTGGCGCTGCTGGGCGGGCATCAGTGCCTGGGGCTGGGGCGGCATCGCCGCCCTTTGGCTCCGCCTGGCCCGAGCCCGGCCCCGGCCCCGGCCCCGGCCCCGGCCCCGGCCCCGGCTCCTCCCGGGCCCCGCGGAGGACACACGCGGCACGGCCGCGCCCGCCGCCTCCGCCGCGGCTTCCCCGGCCCGAGCTCCGCCGCTCAGCAGCGCGGCCGCCGGCCCCGAGCCTCCCGTGTCCCGTTCCCGAGACCGAAGGCCTGGGGATGGCCGGCCCGAGGCGGTTGAGGGGCGCTCGGGGGCCGCTCCTGGCCCCGGGCCGAGCGCTGACAGCCGTGTCCCGCCCGCAGGGAAGGCGCAGGAGGCGCTGCAGCAGCGCTACCGAGTGGGTTCGCTGCTGGGGCGCGGCGGCTTCGGCAGCGTCTTCGCAGCCACGCGGCTCTCGGACGGTGGTCCGGTGAGCGGCGGGGCCGGCGGTGGGCGCAGGAGGAGGAGGAGGAGGGGGATGGAGGAGGAAGAGAAGGAGGAGGAGGAGGAAGAGAAGGAGGAGGAGGAGGAGGAAGAGAAGGAGGAGGAGGAGGAGGAGGTGGAGGAGGAGGAAGAGAAGGAGGAGGAGGAGGAGGAGGAGGAAGAGAAGGAGGAGGAGGAGGAGGAAGAGAAGGAGGAGGAAGAGGAGGAGGAGGCGGAGGAGGAGGAAGAGAAGGAGGAGGAGGAAGGAGGAGGCGGAAGGAGGAGAAGGAAGCAGGAGGATGGGGCTCGGCAGGGCGGGCGGCGAGCTGAACCCGGTGGTGCCTTTGGTTTGCAGGTGGCCATCAAAAGGGTGCCACGGAACCGCGTCCGGCACTGGGACGAGCTGGTGAGTGAGCGGGGCCAGCGGGAACAGCCGGGCTGTGCCGGGCGGGGATGAGGCGAGGCCCGGCAGGGGGGAAGCCACCAGGACCCCTCGATGGGGAGCGGGCGTGGGGCCAGCGCAGGGCGCAGAGCATCCCGGGCTGGCTGAGGGGTTCCCCAGCCCTGGCAGGACATCAGTCCCACTGGTGGCACCGTGCTCCTCCCGCAGCCCGACGGCACCAGCGCACCCCTGGAGATCGTGCTGCTGGACAAGGTGTCCACTGGCTTCCCTGGTGTGGTCCAGCTGCTGGAGTGGCTTGAGCTCCCCAACAACATCGTGATGGTGCTGGAGCGGCCGGAGCGGTCTCAGGACCTCCTGCATTTCATTCGGGCACGGAGGTTCCTGTCTGAAGAGGTGGCACGGCAGCTGTTCCGCCAGGTGCTGGAGGCCGTGCGGCACTGCACCAGCCGAGGGGTCCTGCACCGCGACATCAAACCAGAGAATATCCTGGTTGACCTGGCCACTGGCCAGGCAAAATTGATCGACTTTGGCTGTGGCACCTACCTGCAAGACACAGCCTACACTCACTTTGCAGGTGAGCCCGGGCAGGGGTGTGCTCCCGGTCCCGCCATCTCATGGCCCAACATCTCACAGGCCAAGCTGGGTGTGGCAGCGAGGATTCTCCCTTTTGCTGCCAGTCAGGGTACTGAGCCTTCCCCTGAGTTGCTTTTGAGCGGGGCTGGGTGGGGAGGCATCTTCCAGCCCCGCTGGCAGCCTTTGCCTACCACTCTGCCTGGGGCTGGGGTTGGGCAGCAGCAGCCAGCCCAAAAAAGCACCCGTGGTGGGGGTAGCATAGGAGGGAGCCAGAACCAGTGCACCAACCAGTTTGGTGTGCAGGTGAGAGGAAGGGCTTGGGCTGCTCCACTCACCTTGTTTGCCTTGGCTTCATAATATTTTTAGGGCACTGCAGGCAGGGAGGATAAGGAGATGATTTTTCCCCCAGCCCTGAGTGGGTTTTTGCTTTGCATGTCACGGTCAGGCCTTGCCGGGGCTTCTGCTGCCCTCTTCCAACACCAGTGGCTTCTTGTCCAGCCCTGAGTTTGTACACATGTCCCAGGTGCTGGCGAGAGTGCAGCAGTCGCCCCGTGTGCCACTGGGGCGGCCCCTGCACGCCCAGGGATGCTGGGGCCAGGCTCTGGAAGCAGCAGCATCCCCCTGATGAACTCCATCTGTATTCCACAGGAACACTGTCATACAGCCCCCCAGAATGGACCCACTTGGGCTGTTACCATGGCGAGGCAGCAACGATCTGGTCCCTGGGCATCCTGCTGCACCAGATGGTCTGCGGGCAGCACCCTTTCAGGAGGGGCTGGAAGATCAGCTGGGACCATCAGCTCTCGCTGCCACAGCGGCTCTCTCCAGGTGGATCCTCATCTCTGGCCACGGGGGAATACCAGTGCTGGGAGACAGCAGCAGCTCGTGAGCATCTCGCTCTGGCAGCCGCTGAGGAGGTGGCACATGTCCTGCTCTCCTGCTCTCCTCCACAACAGGGAATTGATGGGAAAGTTTAGGCACAGCTCTGAGCACAAAAGCAGCATGGCCTGGGCATGGGAAGAGTGGGGCAAAGCAGACAGGAGCCTTCTCTAGCTGACCGGTGGTTTCTGGTTTCTCTGCCCAGAGTGCCAAGATCTTATCAGGTGGTGTTTATCCATGCACTTCTTGGACAGACCTTCATTAGAAGACCTGTTCTGTGATCCTTGGATACAGGATATTCACCTGCCATAGAAAAAGGGAGAGAGCCACATGCACACTTTGCTCCAGGGCCCTGGTAAGTTACAGGTCCACACATGCCCTGGCAATCAGAAGCAAGGAAACCCAGACTTTTTTCCCTGCCTGTATCAATGCACTGGGATTGTTAGGTGGGAACACTCAGCCTTGTGCTGGAGCTGAGCTGCTCTGCCCAGCACTGGTGGCTGCCATCCGAGCTGGTTTTGCTTGTCCTGCTTCCCTGACAGCTGGGGCCCTGGGCAGAACCCTGACAGCCTGGTCTGACCCGCAGGGAAGGAGATAGAGTCCTTGGAGAAGCTGTACCAGGCGGGGCTGCTGCTGCTGCTGGAGACAGCGACGACAACATCAAGGATGACACCTCTTCCTCAACCTGGCCACTGGCAGCTGAAGATGATGGACTTCTGGCACCGTCTTCAAAGCCAGGCTCCACAGCGAATTCGCAGATGAGTCCACAGCCGGGGAAATGCTCCCAGATTTGGGCATTGCTCAGACTGGCTGGGAACAAAAGTTTCTCCCTTTGCTGGAGCAGATGCAACTTCAGTCGGCTGCCCAGCTGCTTTTTGGCAGGGCTGGGGGCATGGGCTGGGCTGGATACAAGATGGGAGTTGGCTCCTGGCCCTGCCAACAGCCCCCAGCACCCAGCATGGCCTGGGCTGAGGCTGGGGCTGGGGCTGGGGCAGCCAGCCCGGCACAGAGAAACCCCCATGGCGGGAGCAGAGGTGGGACTCCAGAACCTGTGCAGGGGCTGCTTTGCTTTGCAGGCAAGGAAGGGCTTGGGCTGCTCCACTGCCCTTGTTTGCTTTGGGATCACCGTTATTTTGGGGGGCAGTGCAGGAGGGAAGAGAGAAAGTGTGGCCTTCTCTCCCCCATGGGTGGGATTTTCCCTAGCATGTAGGGGTTGGGCCTTCCTCAGACCTCTGACAGAGATAAGAGTTTTTTTCTTGTTTCCCCTTGTCTCTAATCTCTTTTCAACAGTTTGTTGTTTGTTTTTCTAGAGGAAGCGTTCTATGTAAGGTCCAGTCGGGATTGGGAAGTGCCTGGGAGCAGCTGCAGTGTGGATGGGCCGTGCCCTTGGAGAAGGCTGAGAACATTGTTTGGGACCAGCTTTTCTCCCAGCGGAGGATGGCGTGAGGTGAGTCCCCGTCTGCTTGGCATGGTGGGATCAGAGCTTTTGGGAGACAGCAACAAGCACAAGGAGGCTCCTGCTCTGGGCAGCTGCTGAGGGGCTGGATGTGCCATGGCTGGCTGCAGGCTGGGAATGTCCTGCCCTCCTGCTCTGCTCCCAAAGGCAGCAGTGATGGGCAGCTCTGGGCACAGCTCTTGGCACAGCCAGCATGGCCTGGGCTCTGTGGGCAGCTGGGACAAGGGGACAGGAGCCTTCAGCTGACGGGTGGTTTCTGGTTTCTCTCCTTGCAGCCGGGCTCTGCGGGTGCTGAGGCTGCTCTGGGCTCTGCCAGGGCTCTGCTGGGCTCTGCCCCGGGCACAGCTGGGCTGGCTCTGCCCTCACATTGCTCTGACAGCTTTGCATCAGATGAGTCTATGTTGGGAAGGGTAGATAAATATGATTAAGAACCACAATGGTACAGCCAGGACGAATATAACGCCCCCTACTGGCTGGACAATTACCCTCACCTACAGCGGGGTCCAAAGGCCAAATGGACTGTTCCATGTCACCCCCCAGAATGTATGGTTCACCCCACATCTGTAACCCTCCCCTGAACCATCAGGTGTCTGTGACCCCATTGGCCCAGGTCCTGTTCCAGCCCACCCTGGAGCCCCCTTTGATAAAGGCTCTCCGGGGGGCTGGACGTTCTCTTGGATCTTCCCTTCTCCTCCTGGAGAGTCCTCCGGGAGTCCCTGCTCCCCTCTTTGTCTCTCCCCTCCCCCATCACCCGAGGCCCAGCCACATGCTGTGTCTGGCAGCTCGAGGCAGAGCCTCTCTGCGTCCTGAATAAACTTCATCCCCCAAGAGCAACCAAAGAGATCTCGCTTGAATCTGTCCGTGGAATACAAATCAACGTCTTTACAGACTGGCGCCCATCTTCGACTACGAACCCACGGTGACCTGCAACTGCACCCGTCTGGATGCTTTCCAGCTTTTCTACCTGTAGGACACCTTTCCATGGACACTAACTAAATAGCCAGGTATTTCCTCGCCATCGCTGTCGCGAGCACGGCATTTTGCTGCTAGGCAGCGACGAAGCCGGAGCTCTTTAAAAAGTCCCGAAGCCATCCTACAGCTCAGCGACTCATTACATAGTAGCGAGTTTTAAGAGCCCTTCTAGGATTTCTAGCCGTTATTCTCCGAGCAGAGGCGATCGCCGCGATTCCGCGGCGACCCAAGGCTTTGTGACGAGACTTGCCGCGCCACGCGGCCACGTGCACAAAGCACAGGCGAGCACTGCTTAGCACTGCCCGCGCTGAAGCTCTGAAGAAACCCCGCGGTGAGCCCTCAGCACCGACTGCAGTAAACGTCCGAACCTGACAGAGGACCCCGCTCCTGCGACACCGAGGTGAGCCACACTGGTTTAAAAATGGGACAATCCCACTCTACATCTGATCGAGATCTCTATAAGCAACTTAACCACTTATTACGTAGCCATAACAGTAATTTGCCTAAAAAAGAGCTACGGAAACTCCTAGAATGGATCTTACTTAAGTTCCCATATGCCGAGCACTCTGCTGTGTTTTGTGCAGACTTTTGGGAGTCCGTGGGACATACACTTTTTAATGACATTTCACGGCGGGACCCCTATGCTTGCGAATTACTCCCTGCTTATAGAGTGTTAGCAGGGCTCTGCGCTTCTCAAAAGCCGCTGATAGCAGCCAAACCGCTCCCCGCCGTGGCTCAACTATCCCCGCCGGACCGCCCCCCCACCCCGCGCTGCAGCGAAAATGCCGGCAAGGCGGCTGGAGACGCGGCGGTTTCTGAGCGAGCGGCGCTCCCTGCCGCAGCCGCCCCCCCCCTCCCCCGCAACCCAGAACCCGCCCTTGCGGCCACGTCCTCCCCCCCAAACTACTCCGCGGGCCCCGCCTCCCCCCCGCCCGCCCCCCAGCATTGCCTGTCCCGGCTATGATGGCTACTATAGCCGACCTTTTACAAAATCAAACAACAGCCATTTTGCAAGCACAAACCCAGTCAATGGCTATTTTGCAAGCACAGTCTCAAAAGTCAGCTGCGATTTTGCAAGCGCTACAGACGCTCGCCTCCGCGGCCGCCCAACCGACCCGCCCGGAAGCCCCCTGGCCCAGCGACCATGCCGGCCATGCGCCGGCCCTGGGCCGGGCGGCCCCCACTCCCGCAGCCATGGCCCCCCTCCCGCGCGGCCCTGACCCTGCCCCCGGGGCCGCCGCCTCCCTCCCGCGCGGTCCAGACCCCGCCCCTGCTTCCACCTCCTCTCCCTCGCGCGCCCCGGACCCCGCCCCGGCGGCCGCCGCACCGCCCGTCCTTCCCAGGGACGCCCCGGGGCCTGGCGCCGCACCCCCGCTGCCCGCCCGCCTCCTGGACTCGCGGCCGGCCCCCCCGGCAGACACAAACCCGGCGTCCCCACCCCCCCACCCCCCCGCAGCACCGCAGCCCCTGCCTCTGGCTACAGAGCCCCGGAACCCCCCGCTGCCGGCACCACTTCCTGGTTTCCCAAACCCATCACCATATCCCTCCGCATCCCTCCCTCCGCCGGATCTTCAGACTGCCGCAGCACCCAATGCCACAGGTACAGGAAATCCTTCCACAAATCCCAGTTCCCCACAGGTTCTGCTGCCCACTAGCTCCACCCCTCCTGCTCCTCTGCCTCAGCTGGCAGCAGCCCCTGCCTCCCACACTAGCAGCTCCTCACCACACCCTGACGGAGACACTATGCATCCACAACGTGAATGCAACAATGTGACTGCAGCTTCGACAAACAAAGGACAGACAGAGAACTATGTTACCCCTGCAAACCCTAACCTTTCTATCCAAATCTCACCAAATTCTCAGCAAAGTGCTAACAATCTTCAACTGACAAACTGCCCTGAAATCAAACGTGATAACCACAAAGAAGATAATCTGCATCCCCAAGCCATGCAAGTGGTATTCAGCCAGCGAACAGCTGTCCCCTCTCAGGAGGTGAAAGAAGTCCTACCAGTACTCAAGGACAGTGGTATCTCCTTTTCCTATTTTACACCATTGTTAAAAAGTACCATAGAAAAAACACGCCAAACCCTAAAACGCATCTTAAATCTAAAGAAAGGGGGAGTAGATCAGGCTACACCTCAAAAGAGGTTGAATAAGGCTCTATATGTTCACAATTTTCTAAGTAGCTCTGCAGGAGAGCCTCGCCTCCCAATTTATAGACATTTCCTGAACACCAAAAAAGTAAAAATAAAAGGGCACCCCCCAGCTTTACTCAAAATCTTAGATTCAGGACATATACAAGGTCCAAACAGTCTTCTGATGTGGGGAAAAGATTTTCTTGTGTTTCCACAGGTGGACGACTTAAGTTGGTCCCAGGAAAGCATGTGAAGCCTTACCATGCACCGAAATCCGCTGACACCCCCACACCAGACAGTACTTCTGCAAGTACAAGCCAAGAAGCCAGCACCCAGACCTGAACCACGCTGCATCATCGAGAGAAAAATGGACTTTTTATCGTTTATATGCATGCATGTTGCTTTTGTTCTTCTGTTTCAGTTTTTGTATTGAAGTTTTACTTGTAATTCAACCAAGGACAAATGCCCGAGTAGCTTTAGCCAAGCCTGCAAGCTCTAAGACCACCTATATATCTAACACAAACCCTAACAAACCTTTTTCAACCCGTTTAATTATAAGACCTTTTCCAAAAAATTCTGACAATGCCTCCCCTACTATAATCAGTGATTTGATAACAATAAGGCCATCTCAGCTACACAATTTACTTAATGGTTGGAGCCTTGCACCTTAGCTAAAGGAACTCTGTAAAATAAGCTTGACTGTTCCAGTAGTAATAAGTATAGTTCTAGTAACAATACCCTGTACACCTCCAAGTGTGCAAAAAATAGTTGTTAAGTCAATATTTAGTATTTCAAATGGTTCAGTGAAAACAGGGGAGATGTTGGGAAGGGTAGATAAATATGATTAAGAACCACAGTAGTACAGCCAGGACAAATATAACGCCCCCTACTGGCTGGACAATCACCCTCACCTACAGAGGGGTCCAAAAGCCAAATGGACTGTTCCATCTCACCCCCCAGAATGTATGGTTCACCCCACATCTGTAACCCCCCCGTGAACCATCAGGTGTCTGTGACCCCATTGGCCCAGGTCCTGTTCCAGCCCACCTTGGAGTGCCCCTTGATAAGGGGTCTCCGGGGGGCCGGACGCCCTCTTGGATCTTCCCCTCTCCTCCTGGAGCGTCCTCTGGGAGTCCCTGCTCCCCTCTTTGTCTCTCCCCTCCCCCATCACCTTAGGCCCAGCCACATGCTGTGTCTAGCAGCTCGAGGCAGGGCCTTTCCGCGTCCTGAATAAACTTCATCCCCCAAGAGCAACCACAGAGATCTTGCTTGTATCTGTCCGTGGAATACAAATAAACGTCTTTACAATTAGAGACACCATGACACAGAGAACATCAAAGGAGTTTTTAAACGATTTGAAGAACACTTGTCTCATCATTGGTGGGATGTGCTTTTTGGATGGTCACCAACAGCAACTGGCATACTTAATACTTTAATTCATCCTATTATTGTGTTGCTTATTTTAGTTAGTATAAGCTTGATTTTGTCTGTTGTAATACTTGTTTGGAATTGGAAAATGATACGACGAATGACAGCCCTAACTTCACTATCAAAAGCATATGGCTTAGTTTTGAAAGAAACTAGACACATGTCTTGGGCAGATGAAGAAAGGTCTATATATTGAGTAAAAGAATTTACTCATTCCAAAGAAGAAGTGGGGAATGAAACGTAAACTTTAAGGCATTTAGAGATTTTGAGGAGCTAAGATTTTAGTTAGAAATAAGCCTTACTAGAGTTAATTAAAATAAGAATAATAAGTGAGTAGGCCTTGATGAAGTTAGGAGTTAGTAGT